GTATTTTTTAGTCAGATAGATATTGGTTAGATACTTGTTGTATTAGAAATGTTTAGTGGAGACAGGATGTCTAGTTTAAACGCTTAGTCATTGTCATGAGATTTTAGCAGGGTGTACATGGGCAAGGATAACTAGATAGAAAAGTTTGATTGTCAGCGGGCAGGATGAATATTGTTATTATTATGATATGTTTAGCCGTAATCTTAATCATAATATCTTCCTAGGCTTAATGTCCGGACATGTCCCTGAATGTCCTGTATGTTCTTAGATACACACCACTTAATCAACACTCACACACATTGATTTTCTCCATGTTTTGCCTACTGCTACGGTCAGCTGTAAAGCTGACATATCAGGTGACGCCACGGTTTGACGTGCCTGTGTAGAATGGGGTTAGCCCAAACCAGATATAATATACAGGCCTGTTGGGTTTGGGGTCTTACAATCTTCATCTGCCTGCGCGCAGTATTGGAGGTGCAAGATACCTGAGCATGTAATGTTAATTTTACCTGTGATCCTTGAATAAACCAGCACCGTTTTTTGTAGCCACTTCGACCACCTCGTCTCTCTGAGTTTCACTGGTTAAGCGTAACTGGGAAATATCCTTCACTTCGATGTACAGAATGTGTTTGTAGCTGAATCACTGAGTCTGGAGCTCTGTCAGAAAGCCAGGTCTCAGTGAGAACTAGAGCACAGCATTCTCTGATTTCCCATTGTGTTGTAATCCTAGCCCTTAGCTCGTCCAGTTTGTTTTCCAGAGACTGTACGTTAGCAAGGAAGAGGCTGGGTAATGGCGGTCGGGTAGCGCGAGCTTTTAGCCTAGCATGGAGTCCTCCTCGCCTGCCCCGTTTGCGTCTCCATCTCCGGGTTGCTCTCCTGATTTCAGCCTGCTCGCTTGTGCCTGTTGCTCCGGAGGCTCCCCGCAGGCAATGGTGGCTTTCCTCGCTATTATTGTTATTGTCGCCGGAGCGAACAATGAGTTGTAGCTCCGGTGGTATGAAACCAGTAAATTCCCAGTGGCTTTGTGAGTTGGTGATATCCAGCAATACCTGTCTATTGTATGGAAGCAGTGCATGACATTTGTGCCGTGCATAAAAAGTAAAAAACACACAAAAAAGAACAAAACGAAGAAAAAAACGGCATTCGAGAGTGGAACACGCAAACACGTTTGCCTCGGTGGGCACCATGTTGAATCAAGGTTGAAACAAATGAAATATACAGTAGATAAATACTGTAGGTATCACAAAATCTAAGGCACTTTAAGCAGCTGTCAAAAAAATTTTCAAAGAAGCAACGAAGTCACTGGAATCTTTCAATAAGAGATTGGTTTACTTGAAGCAAGGAGACAAGTCAGCATAGGCATACAGAGTTGTCTGAATAAGCTAGTCTAAACATCACAATATATAGGACTAAAGGGAACTCCCTAAAGATGCATCCCAGGCGTTAATCTAGTTGAAAAGAAGATTCAAACAGGAAAAGTGAACTTGCGAGGCTTTGCCCTGATAACCCCTCAGACGATAAACAATATGTTGTCCGTTCATTTTCACAATATATGGCAGAAAAGAGTTTATGGCGGGCTCCTTTAAGTCTGGAGCGTCATCCGGCTGAACATATAACAACACATAGAGTATTAAAAACAAAGATAAGTTCAGTTCTCATAAGCAGTGTCTCACAGGTCCCTGTTATCTGTAGTTAGTTCTGAAAGGTTAAAATCCATTGAACAACATGTTGGTTAATATATTGATTAGAACACAGTTGAAAACATACTTAATAATGTAATTTTCATGACAGCAGCAAATGCAGAGATATAAAAAAAAAATATAAGGATATAATACGAGAATGTATGCTACATGGGAGCAGCACGTGCAGCAGTCAACAGTCAATGTGCAACTAGAGAAATGCATTTCCTGTTGTAAATGTGTGTGGATGCTGAAAAAGCTAATTATTTAAAAAGTATGAAGTTCAGAAAAGTTCTAAAAAGAAGCATGAATGTCCTTGAAGAGCTGCACATTTTGAAAGGTGAAAGTGTGCTGAAGTAGAATTTCCCCTCCATTTGAATCGGGCAAGATTTTCAAAATAAAGCTGAATATTTTAAAAGTATGAAGTTTAGATAACTTCTGAAGAGAAGCATGAATGTCCTTGAGGAGCTGAACATTTTCATACCTGAAAATATGCTGAAGTAGAATTTCTCCATTCATTTGAATGGGGCAAGATTTTCAAAATAAAGCTAAATATTTCAAAAGTATGAAGTTCAGAAAATTTCTGAACAGAAGCATGAATGTCCTTGAAAAGGTGAACATTTTGATACCTGAAAGTATGCTTAAGTAAAATGTCTCCTATTCATTTGAATGGGGCAAGATTTTCAAAATAAAGCTAAATATTATAAAAACATGAAGTATAGAAAAACTGTGAAGAGAAGCATGAATGTCCTTGAAAAGGTGAACATTTTGATACCTGAAAGTATGCTTAAGTAAAATGTCTCCTATTCATTTGAATGGGGCAAAATTGTCAGAATAAATGCTGAATATTTTCAAAAGTATGAAAGTTGTAAAAAAAAATTGTAAAAAAAACAAAACAAAACTTGACTATACACCATAATGCCCTGAAAAACCTGAACATTTTGATTCCAGAATGGCTTTTCTAGCTGAAAGTATACTGAACTTATTAAGATGTGAACATTTTCCTATTGGTCCCCACAAAGTAGGTAAAAGAAGTAGTGTTTTGTGTGTGTGGTTGTGTGTGGGTGTGTAGGTGTTTGTGTGTCTGTGTGTATGAGAAAGAGTAGTCCTACACACAGAAATACTAGAGTGTGGCTATTGAAATGAGACATACAATGTAAATGACAATTATGCAAAAACCATAAAAAATATCATAAAGCTGTTTACAGTATGAATAGCTGAAGAGTTGATGAATAGTTATTAGTTGAAATGGTGGTTTTAGCTGAAGGTATGCTGAAGATATTAAGATGTGAAAATTTTTCCCATTCATTTGAATGGGGCAAAATCTGCTGAAAAAAGCTAAATATGTTAAGAAGTATAAATGTTACAAACAATAAAAATACAAGCATGAATGTCCTTAAAGAGTTGAACATTTTGATGACTTCATGGCTTTTGTAGCTGAAAGTATGCTGAAGAAATTAAGTGCCGAAAAACGAACGGAAGAAATCAGAATCATAAAGAACAGGATAACATAGTGTGGATGCTTCACAGCATACACACAAATAACAAACACAAGAGAGTACAAGTAACCACGGCCACCATCACTGTCTGCGCCATCTTGTTGTTTAGGTCCAATTGTCTTCACTTTATACATGCTCTCTTTAGGCAATATTATCAGGAAACACAGGATAAATTTCCATTGCTATGCAGATGATTGTTATATTTATCTATGAACCCAGATGAATCAGATCAGCTGGTCAAACTTCAAGCATAAAGACATAAGGGCCTGGATGACTTGTAACTTCTTACTTCTAAGCTCTGACAAAACTGAAGTCATTGGGCTTGGGCCTGTAAACCTTAGAAATCTGCTATCTAATAATATAGTTATTTTAGATGACATAGCTCTTGCCTCCAGTACTACTGTGAGGAACCTTGGAGTCATTTTTGACCAGAATATGTCCTTTAAATCATACATAAATCAAGCCTCTAGAACTGCCTTCTCTAACTCTTTACTATCAGGTATGTCCTAATAGTTCCCTAAAAAGCCTCCAGTTGATCCAAAATGCTGCAGCCAGAGTACTGACAGGAACTAGCAAGAGAGATCATATCTCTCCCATATTAGCTTCTCTCCACTGGCTCCCTGTAAAATCCAGAATAGAATTTAAAATCCTTCTCCTAACATACAAAGCCCTTAATGACAAGGCTCCATCGTATCTTAAATACATCATAGAGCCTTATCATCCCAACAGAGCACTTCGCTCTCAGAGTGCAGGTTAACTAGAATCCACAGAAGTAGAATGAGAGCCAGAGCCTTTAGCTATCAAGCTCCTCTCCTATGGAACCAGCTCCCAGTCTCAGTTCGGGAGGCGGACACCCTCTCTACCTTTAAGAGTAGAATTAAGACTTTGCTTTTGATCAAGCTTATTGTTAGGGCCAGATCAGGTGACCCTGAGTCTTCCCTTAGTTATGCTGCTATAGGCCTGGACTGCTGGGGAGCCATGATGCTCTGAGTTTCTCTCCTCTCCTCTCCATACACCACCACTACCTGTCATTAACTTTGTGTCTTC